CGACTGTAGAAACATTCTTGAAACCCTTAGCTTCAAGATTGTCCTTCGAGTCTCATGATCGCCCCCGAAAGTTTTTTTTTACGAGAAATAATTCGTTTTATCGGACGTCTTACAATGCAACAGCCCTTATCCTAGGAGATCCCGAGGCAGGAAGCTGGCGCAGAAAGAAGAGGACCTGGCAAAACTTGAAGCGAAGAACAGTGTCAAGGGCAGCTGAAAGAGTTCTTTTCGCCCAAGGTTTTCTAAAACTTCGTCATTACGGGTTCACTTGGTCTCGAATCAGCGAACTACCCCTTGGTCTCCGAAGAAGAACGGCCTCCAGTATTTGTGTTAATGTTAACCTGAAGGGTACAGTGTTCTTATACACTGAACACAAACTTGATAACAACCCTAAATCGATAACGTGATCCGGAGCCCAGAAGCTGATCAGGATACTATTAAAGGCCAAGGAGCCGTGAGTTGAATCTGAATTCGGAATTGCCTGCAGATACCTCGGCCCGGAGGAATACACAACCAATTTAATCGAATATATTTTACTTATCGTCTTCACTATTATATATGTATCTACAGCGTTTACAGAGAGTAAATTTCTTTTTAAAGACGTTTTCATCTAAGTTAATTTATTGTCAATACTCGTATACTTAACTCAAAAAGTACAGATTCCTCGAGACTTACTGGATATGTGCAAAATCTCAACCTCACATTTATAATTTTGTTAAGTGTGGCAAAGAAAGGGTAGAGAAAAATCTGCTTTTATCAACGGCAAATAAAAGAAGACATTTTCTGCGTATTTTTCTTCGCAATATCGGGAGCTTGAAAGAAAACAAAAAGAAACTAATTCAGCAGGTGGAGAAGCTGATGAAGTGATTGTGATGACTAACAATGGTCTGTTCTGTGACAGAACCACACGGGGTGTCCAAACCTTTATTACTCAATTATTATCTGAATAAAGTGTTTTGTCAACCATCAACATAACTGAGAGGTTTCAAGCCAAGATTGCAGCGAAATGATTGGCTCTTGTCGAGGTAAGATTCGTTTTAGATCGTGCGGCGCTTGTGGCACTAATTGATAAAGAGTGTTGTGTGTTCATATCGCGTCCAACAGATCGAAACACAGGGGAACGCAAGAACATAATGGAAGCGATCTTTTTATAAAAATTGTGGTTCTCTGTTTTGCCATCTCTGCATTTACGATTAACCTAATCAAGTCGGCAATGTTTATGCTGCACACAGTAAACACGTTTTGCAAAACAATCTTGTTTGATTCAAATTAAAATCGGTGAAGTCTGAAATATATTGTATCCCATTTCCATGAAAACAAAGGAACAAACTCATTTAATTTACCTGACTTTTGATCAGGAATTCTTCACGACCCGGTCGCCGATTAAAATTCGCCCGGCAAAGTCTATCAGATCTGATTAATTTAAATATTTCTGATTGATATAAATGAAAAAAAATCCATCGGCTTCTGCCAAACGCGCGGATGAAAAAAATTCCACGATACAGTTGTTTAGAAAACACCAAAATCTGGGAACAATTATATTTATAGCGACCTCTTGCAAACGAGTTTTCGCTTCAAAATACAGTTAGTCACCCTCTCGGAAAAGACAGTTTAAACGAAATATTCAATTAAATGTATACTTACTGAAATATACAGAGACAAGCTGATGTCCAATATGTGTATTTTCCAGATTTGAAACTCGTCCGAGTCACTATTTTTTCATGGCAGTAAGGACATGTAATGTAGACTGGAACGTCTTCGAACGCCGTTTCAGCATCGGAAGATTCACCGCCATCTGCTCCCGCAGCTGCTGGTTTCGCGGATTCTTCGCTTTCACGCGCTTTTTGCGACACCAGATGTATTCGTTCTTCGTCTGACATGTTTCAAATGAAACCCGAGAGAGAAAAAAAAAACACCTCGCTAAAAAATCGGAGACGCCGATTCAGATCTAAAAAAACTCTACTAATTCCCGACTACTCAGTTCTCAACTCTGTTTTGAAATTGTTACTTTAAACAACACGACATCGAAGTAGTTGATCGTATTTCTTATTCGTTACCTGTTGTTTAGTTTAGGATTTGCTATTGGCCACAACAACATCCGCGCCTCTTTGTTCCTCTATTATGAAGCGAATATTTTTCGCTTAACTTAAGCCAATCAGCAGAAATCATTTCATTCTTAAGACTCCGACATGACGATAATAAATGTTGTTTCAGAATTATTGAAATAACAATATTTTATACGCTACATACAAATTAGATAAGTGCGTCTGAACGATTTAGCAAAAGAAAAATTGTATAATCAAAACTTATCATTGTAAATATTTTGGACTGTCTAAAATTTACTTCCGAGAACCACTGTTTTCAGCAGTATAATCTAAAGAATCTTATATACAATACATTCTATGATCTTTGCTGTTGTATAAAAACTATAAATGAATTAACTCGGAGTTGTGCTCCATAGATGAGAGATGGAAGATGACCCAAGAAGTCACAGGGAGAAAAACAGAATAGATATTTACTTACGTGTCTCTGAGAATAAATAAAACATTAAATCTGATACATACAGTTTATTTGTATTAGATTCTAACCGGGAAACTGCTATACAGCCGCCCAAAAAAAGGGTTGTTTGATTCTCTAGCAGATTAAATTTTTTATTACAATCGTTTCTCTAGCTAAATGGATTAGCAAGCCTTAGCGCTTGCTTAGTAGAGGCCATGCGGTTTTGTGGTCTTGAAGATTTATAACTACAATAAATTACTTCAATAAGACAA